CGGCATTGACTCTCAGAAGCTGTGGCCCTGTGAAGGTTTTAGAATGGTTGGTGCAGCGGACGGCACGAGACCGTCCAGCAGAGGTGCGCCATTTGCCGCATCAAGAGATGCCAGGGGTGTCAGCAAAAGGCGAGCAGCCGCGTTTCTTTTGGATGGGTCCAGGGCAGGCGAAGGAGGGCTGGCTCATTGTCGTTAGTTAAGCCATGCGGCAGGTCATTGCCAGACAAGGCTCTTCATCAGGCCAGCATCAGCTTGCCTTGACCTGTGGTGAAGCCTTCGTTGGATTGCAGAGACAGTGGCAGGTTTATATCACCCGAATTACGGATTTTTGTGGGATGAGGCTGGGCCCGCTCTCTGCTGGGCATTCCTCTACTTTCCAGGGTGCGTTGAGCTATTACGTGCGCTCATGTTATGGCACTGCTGGGTGGCAGTCATTTTTGGCAGGCTATAACTTTGAGTCCGGGCGTCAAGGCAGGCAGTGTTATCTAGGACTCGGGGCTTGCACAAGAGACTGCCGGGCAATGCAGCCAGCATACACAAGAGCAGTTCTGTCCGAACTTTCACCCCTTCAGGCAAATCGATTTAATATCAATCTGAATGCAACACATTGCATCTAACTATGGAAGCACTTGATGCTCTACACTCTGACTTGCAGGTGTCCTTCTTCTCTCTACCTGGCAGAGGAGATGCAACGACTGCAAGTGCCAGAGCCTCAGCAACAGACAGGGAGTTCATGCCTCGGCGCTGAGCCCTGGGGTGCTCAGGTGGCTTCTTTGGCATCGCCTGGAAACTTTGCTTTCCGACGGCTCTCTTCAGGGACCGAAACTGGGCGGAGCCGACAAGACATGTTGTGCCGTGAGTTGAGAAAATTACAAGCAAGGCTTGTTCATGCTGTTCGCCACTTGTATCTTTCTTTTCCTGTGGACGTGTGGCCGCAATGTCAAAATGGCCAACCATTGAGCTTCAATCGTGAGTGCTGTGCTGGCAATCCCGCGCAGGATTGTTGTGCGCACGGTGGCACCCCGCTGAGACGCGGTTTGCTGGAACTGGAATGCATTGCAGAATAATGTATTCGGGTTGATGTCGTGGGCTCGTGCTTTGTCAGTGAGATGCTCGCACACTCCCCTGTCATGTTTCAAGAATATGCTTGGTTGCTTCTTTCACTAAAACTCCAACTCCTTGCTTCTGGTGTGTGTGTGTGTGTGATGTGGAATCCAGTGGCCAAGGCAAAAGTGTCACACTATGAAGTCATGTTCGACGAGGCTGCGTGCACCAATCAGTTCGAACATGTTTTAATGAAGGACCCATATGAAAGCTTGTTTTCGTGTGGCGGGACTGAACCTCATTCATGGTTTGAGCTTCGACTGAAGCCACCTGCTCTTGAGGGTTCATTGCGACCTGCACTGAGCTTGCCCCATTTCTGTGGCAGGTTTCCTTCGCTTTCGCCAGGTGGTTCCGGAGGATCGGTGGGTCTCTGCCTTCAACGTGGGGCCAGGGTCCCAGGATTCATGTGCATTGTTTGTTAGGCAAAGCTGGTTCAGCGCTCAACATTAAAGAGGGGCAACTAACGGTTCCTCCGAATGTAAAGTGAGCTAATTGCATAGACTTGCCCACCCCCTACCCTTGACAAGCCTTCAAAGCCACATTGAGAGTACATTGGGGGAACATTTGGCCAACCGGTTGGAGCACAGTTGAATGGACCAGACTAATATATGCCCCCCATGTTTAAACGAGCTGACCATGTGCACAAGTCTTGTGTCTGGAAGTTGCTAATTGTGGCATCCCGTTGCATGCTTTGCTGTCTCATTCTCTCATTCTTTGACGCAGTTGGTGCTGACATCAACTGAACCACATGTGACCACACATCCCTGGATGGATGTCTATATTGGCAGGAACCATTTGCAGCCTGATGGAACGGTCGAGAGGCTGGAAGGGACTTCGTTGACGCAGATTGCACATACGCGGCTTGCTGCCTTTCGCTGTCCGCTGTGCCCTCCTTGGCTTTAGATGGGAGGAGAAGATAGCAGTCACTGCTCTATGTGGTTAGCATGTGTACAAAGCGAGGCCCACACAGCACCACCCAAAGCAGCTCAACCACTTGGGACTTGACAATTTTACATGTCGCTTGTCATGAGTCCAGCTTGCATGTTGCGGCACATCTCATTCAATGTTCGCTGTTCACCTGGGAAGGGGTACGCTCTGCGAGCGTGCGCATTGTGTGCACCGAGTGGGCCTCGTGCATCATCGGGCCGCGGCCCGAACGCGGCCACGCTGCGCTCCTGTCCTTGCAGGCTGCCTGGCAACGCGATTTCTCGGGCGGCCGGTGGTGCGGAGATGCAGGCGTCAGATTTTGGAGGAGGTGCCTCTTTCCCCCACTTACTTGGCGCAGCGCTTGGCCCCTAGCTTCCAGGAGCAGGGTGCTAGCCCCTCAGAGGCCACAGCACTGGCTTCTGAACTGCTGAGCCAGCTGTCCCTGGAGATCGGGCATTGTTTTGCGCTCCCCCACGCGGACCGTGGCGGCAGGCTTGATGGGCTCATGGATTTGAGCCCTGCTTGCGGTCCACGAGAGTTTCGACGGCGCCTGCACCAAGCACTTGCCAGCATGGTGCGATGGTACTTGCACGACCCGGCTGTGCACTTGTCAGACATCAGAGTGGGGGCATCTTCCCAAGAACTGCGCACAGCAGCAAGCAACGCCATTGAGAGGAAGCGGAGCTTGCGCCGGCGGTGTCAAAGTAGCGTCGCCTACTCCACCAGTCCTCCTTCGCTGGAAAGTCTGGAAGGTGAGGAGATTGAGGAGTTTGCCGATGTGGATGCTGCAGCTGTGCATGGGCTGAAGCAGTGGAGCAAAGCCTTCAAGGAATGGTGTGTTGAAGCTGTTCGCAACTACTTCCTGCTGGACCCCAGCTTGCGCTCCCGCTGGCTGACCGGAAGGCGGGAGGAGCGCTCCAGGGTCAGTGTCCTGACTCACGAGCTGCGACGGCTGGCCACGCGGCGGTTCGCGCAAGGCCTGCCGCGGCTTGGGGAGGAGCAATGGGCGGCACTGGTGCAGAGGGCCGCGAAGGACGTATTGGTTCATCGGCCAAAGCTTTTGGACGTCGGAAGTTGCACCAACTACTTTGGCAGGCTGTATGGCAATATCCTTGATGTCACTGCCCTAGACCTGGCTCCCGGCCACCCTTCTGTCCTTCCTTGCAATTTCTTGGAGCTGCGCATTGGTCCAGGCGAGCAAGACTTGGGCTTGCAAGGCTTGAATGGAGACCGACCGGCGCTGGAGCAGCCCGCGAGTCATTTCGATGTGGTCATCATGTCTTTGCTTTTTTCGGTGCTTCCCAGCCCCGAGGCTCGGGGCATCGCTGCCGCCAAGGCCCGGCGTCTTTTGAAGGGCTCCGGCCATGGCCTGCTGATCGTGGCAGATACCAAGGGCACTGTGGGGACCCACAGGAAAAACCGAAGCAGTGCCTGGGTGCAGGCTGTGGAGGCCAACGGCTTTCAACTTGCCAGTGATCCGCAGATGCACCTCTCAAAGGAGCAGGTAAAAGGCCGAAATGGTTACTGGCAGCGCTCCTTTTGCTGGTCTTTTTGGACGAGCCATTGCCCCATGGAGCCTGTTCCAATCCCCCTGCTTAGTGACGATCGCAAGCCGCGCGCCTTGTCTGCAGAACGACTTCAAGCGCAGCAGTTGAGGGATGAGAAGAGGCGTTTGCGCAGCCGCAAAGCTGAACTCTTGAAACAAGCCAAAGCAGCGAGACGAGTGGCTGAAGTGGTGGCAAAAGTTGGTGTGGCAGCTCCGTCCTTGCCTGGTTCCTGTCTTTGCCTTGCCTGCCTTTTGTCTTACAAACGTCCTGCAGCTTGCTCTTGCACTGTCCATGTTCATGTTTGACCTGATTGGTTCATTGGCGTTGCCTTGTCCGTGTGTGGCCATGCAGCACAACCATGCAGCACATTGACAGCGCAGCAGGCTCCGACGACCAGAGCTCACAATTCACGACCTGCCAGAGGACATGCACAACATCGAGGTTCGTTGTCGCTGTTTGTTCCGGCCGTTGTGCACTAGTGAGAGTCAGTTTGCACCGTTGGTTTCAAGAGACTCCAATGTGTGTTTTGGTCGCTTGCGAGTTTGGAGATGTCGGCCAACCTGCCAGCTCCAAGTGGCAGGTGTCAATTGGTCTCTCGTCGGCACTTCACTCGGAGGAGGTGAAGTGGAGCAAGTGGGCATCCCAGTTTCACATCACACGCCGCGGAAGATTGCGACCTGACTTGCGAGGCCGAGCAGGCCTTGTCGCGTGCTGCAGGCCGGTTTCTTCGATATTAGGATCGACCTTGACCCTTAAGCCAGGAGATCAGTAGCATGCCATTTGCTGAGGCAGGCATTCAGCCTCTCCCACCACTGCCTCCGGTACTCACAGTTCTTAGCATCAGCAGTGTCTTGGTAAGATCTGCTCAGAGAGAGGTTGGAGTCCCAGTGTGACGTGCTGTATCACACTGTGACCTTAGGAGCGCAAGTGCGGTGGGTGCTGCCTACGGACCGGGCTGGGTGGGTACTTGGGTGGAGAAAGGCTACCGCCACCCTTGTGGTCTCCAAGCCCGTGCCTTTTCAAACTCAAGCTCGAACCGTCCTCCAGCAATTGGCGGAATTGATTGACACCTAAATGTTTTGCCTGAGGAGCCAGCGTCTGTGTGCTTTCGCTTGAGAATCAGAGAGCGGGGTGCGAAGGCTGGGGATTGGGATGGTGCCAGCTTGGCCGCGGCTGGGAGCACCGATGACTGATAGTAGCCAGTGCCAGGAGTGGGGCTTTCTCGACTCGTTTGGGCACGCGCGTTCTAGCCTGAAGTGAGCACGTAGCCGCAAGTGCGGGGGTTTGCGCTTGCTTGCTCATTTTGTCCCGCTTTAGGTGATGAAGACACTGTGTTGGCCTGGCGTTCACGGCTGGTGCCTCTGGTCATGTTCTCAGCAAACAGCTCTTGCCGAGTTGCAGCATGCGATGCTTCAAGTTGCTCCGGAACCCTTGAACCTGCCGTACAGTATGCCGTTCGGTCAGGTGGAGGGGCTGTGGGTCAGCGCCTTCGGCGACTTTGACAAACGAAAGTCATCCACACCGGGGGCGGCGAAGGTGAGAGGCGTCGTCTTCTGAGATTCGACAGTGTTTATGCGAGGTTGCTGAAGCGACCGCTTTGAAGCGTTGCCTAGGTGGATCGAGCCACCGGGTCAGTCGAAGTGGAGTTTGTTCGGCCTCAAGACGACTTCTGCATTGGCACCGCTGGCTTGAAACTCTTGGACAGCCTGCAGCCATGTTCATTGGACGTTTAGTTTATGGTTTTCTTCCCTGGGGCCGGGACTTCATTTTCGCGGCAGGTGGTGTGCCAACCTCCGCCCTGGGCTCAGCCGCGGCCAGCTGGCCTTCGACTCCAGCGCGGCTTAGGTGCTGGCCTGCACCCAGTGCTCTCAGAAGCTGGGCCTTGTTCAGGACCCGTTCACCCTTCGCTTTGACACCGAAATCTCCGGGATATCCATGACGGGACCCTAAACAGGTTCTAACAAGCGAATTCCAGCTTGCAACAATGTTCTAGGGACTCAGGTCGTCAAACTGAGGGATTGATCATCATGTTACATGTATATCATATGTATGTATATATCATATGTATGTATATATCATATGTATGTATATATAATATGTATGTATGAGACGCCATATATGGTTTCATGCATGTGCAGGACGAGATTCACACGATACCGTTTGCCTGGATCGAGGCGTGCCAGCATTGATACGCTGAGGGTGTCGTGCGGCATTAAATAGCTTTCTGGGATTTCACCATCCATGCTCCGAGAATGAGATAACTGCTTTGTATACAGAGTAGCAGTGAGGGCGGCATGTTGTTTGGCGCAGAGGCATCCAAATCAATGCTCTTCAGTTTTGGCAACTCAAGAGGTGGTGTAGCAGCTCGAGCCATGCCGCTGCGAGTGGAGGGGGTGTCCAGAAAAAGGCTGCCTGCCTGAATAGCCCCGGCAGAGGCATTCAGACGTATTTTATGTCCAGAACGGAGAGTCGTGCAGTGCATTGTGCCGCACGGCCCAAGGCTGTGCCTACTGGTTCTCCAGGCACGTAGGCAGCCGCTGAGCTTCATTACAATGCAAGCTTTTCTGCTTCTGGGCATGCGGGCGGGCCGGGCAAGGCAGCAAAAACCATGCACCTGCAGCTGCTGCACAATGCAGCGGCTTGGCTGCAACCAAGGCGATAGGCCCTTTGATTCGTTGGATAGCCAGGTTAAGGTCAGGTTTGCCTTGTAGCCAGCAAGGGCTTCACATTTGCCAGGAAAGGAGCTCGTCGAGGCGAATCTCCCTTTGTCTTGCGGCGCCTTGGAGGATGCAGGGCTTTTCCGGTGGAATTGCCGGGGTTTTGTTTTGTGGCGGCCTGATCTCTTGATAGGGCCCCTGGGCTTTTGAGAAATGGCGCTGTTGCAATGTAGCGACAAATGAGCTTGGCATTAGATATCCGCCTTGCTACTAAGGAGCGTGCCCTGGCTGCAATACGACACCTGCTACTCACGCGAGCAGAAATGTGCCAAACGTTCTGTTTGGCATTCTGCCTCTGCCCAGGCACAGCGCCAAAAGGTGCAGCGAAGACAAAAATCTTCGTTTCTTCAGCGTCAGCTGCCCAGTGCAGCGGTACATCAGCTGTGCGTCCAGTTTTGCACAACTACATTTACGTTGACCTGTGAGGTATGTACCGGATGCATTCGCTGCGGAACATCACCAGACTTATTCGTGGATACCCATTGGATGATGAATATGTGGACTGGGAGGATTTTGATTCTGAGTTTGAGTCCGAGGACGACTCTCGGCTTCCAGCTTTAGCGTGTCTGGGAGTGGCATGCATACAGTTGTCGAATGGGTTGCAGGCTCACCATGAGGCTTGCGTGTGCCGGTGGAAAAGTGTTTACTTGAGAAGTGTTTACTTGATTCCAAGCTTTTGCTATGCCCTGTAGGGCATAAGCAATTTTCGGAAAGCGTTCTGCGCAAAAGCTGTAGGCATGCAATGGCAGAGTTGTTCATGCACGCCTATGGGTTTTTGCAGTTGGCATGTGTTGTTCTTCATAGTGAACAACTCCGCGCTTGACCTGTTCAAGTGCAATTCAAACAGGGGGTTCAGGTGTGTAAGCAGGCTGAAGCAGACGCGTAAAGGCTACCAATGTGAGGCCATGAGCAGAATGATAATTGGACATATGTGAAGGGCAGTTGTGAACGGTGCACTGTTGCTTTGCCAGGGTAAATATGAGTTTTAGCTTGTGTTTGTGAGGCAGCACGCTTGGAAATTAGCACGCCAGCAATTCTCTAGCATTTTGTTTAGTTTTGCATTGTTGTTTGAGCGTGCAGCATGTTGTCATTTTTCATTGAGCGGCTGTGACAAATTATTCTGTCCCATCCGCCTTGGCGATAACTTATGCCGCAAGAGCACAGCGGAAAGGTGCGTTTTTGGAAACACGAGCAACTTCACTGAG